CGGGTTGGTAGAGGGTTTATGTCAAGTTTTCGTGCTCTTTGCAGTGCTGTTGTCCTGCGTAGTTTGCTCACTTTGACACTCCGTATCCTAATCTGTCACCACACGGACATAAAACAAGTATTTTTTTTTAATTTTCTAACACTACCATCAAAAAACAATATTCGTCCAAAAATCTGTCGTCAATTAATAACATGATCTGTCTATTGAAATGCTCTCCTCTGCTGTTACGATTTTGTGACGACGGGTATCGTGCTGATTCCAAGCTAGTTCAAAGTTACCATGTTATTATTGACGTTATAGGATACTCAGATTTCTTAGTTTGGAAGTCCAAGGTAACTAACATCTGTTTAAAAATAGGGTAGATGATTGTCAAGTCAAATGTATAGTATACTAGTATATAGTATACTTTTTAAACGTCCAAACGCTAGACGGGGTACATTTTTGTATGAAATACTATTTCAATTACTATCAAGAGGCGACTAAGGGAAAACGGGCAAGAGAAACCGCACTGCAAAGAGAAGGAAGACTTTACACAAACCCTATACCAACCCGTCTGGCCAGCGTGGCATAGTAGGCCAAAACATCCTTTCTAAGGAGAGGCCTATGTCCAGCAGTGGACTGTTAAAGGCTGTTGATGTGACTGTTTTATGACGTCATACTTAGCTATTGTCAAATCATTCATATTTAAAGTTAGTATCAAGATATTGAATCAATACAAGGATTTAATTCATAATGGACGACAATTCAGGCTGTACTTCAAGTCGTTACATTTAATGATGCAGTCGAAATAATGTATTTTAAACCTAGGAATCTACCCTATTAATAATGCCAATCAGCTTTAAGCTAAAAACACTAGATCACCTTTCGAACCGGCAACACTAAATCAAAATCGATCCATCTGTTTAGGAACTATACTACAGTTAGACACACAGATATACAGACACGTAGAAACATTCTGTAACATCAATAAATCCTAGTATTTTTTTCTTTCGTAACAACACAAAATAACAATATTATCTATGAAAGAACACTTTCCACTATTACGGTCAGCTTGAAGCGTGGAAATGATTACAATAATTAATATTGAAAGTCGTTGGATGCGAACGCTGATTCCAATGGTCGGTCTCGCTACAGTGGCGAAGAAAGCCTCCGAAATAGTACCTCCGGTTTCACATTTCATGCGCTAATGAAGGGAAACTTAGCGGCGAAAATTACCGTAAAACTGCCGAAATGCGTGACGTAAGTCTTTTTTTATTTTTAGTTATATAATTAAACTCTTAAACAAGCAACGTGGTCTGACTAAAAAATTGGTGAGCAATGAAACGGGTCGTATGAAGATACCTGATTATCTTAGAAAAAAAATGCTAGTTTAGTAAATGACATTTTGTTTGATAGACGATTAAACACTTAAACATTAAACACACACAAATAATTAAATAGAATTCTCACTAAAATAGAATTTTAGAAAAGTCTTACTCTTAAAACCTCCTTATGCCTTAAATAAATTGGTCAAAAATACATTGAGGAAATTAAGATACAATTCATATTTTTTGATCCGAATTTCTGCCTGTGTGTATGTTGGTATGTCTAAGTCCTTCCTGAAGAACTAAAGTAAGACCATGCTAAGTTACATTAAAATCGGTTTAGCGGTTGGGACGTAACAGACAGACAGGGTTACTTTAACATTTATAATATTAGTAGAGATTTATAAATTGTACCTAAGGCTGAGTAATGCTGAAAGCTAAGCTGAGCTATAGTCTTTTTTGTTGACGGGGTGAAAAATCTCTTTGGACGCAGCAGCCAGGAATTTGTTGTGTTTCCAGTAAACCACCACGACAGCCGGCCTCAGACAGCCATCTACGGTGCAGGGCGCACCGTAGATGGCTCTTAACAGGCGTCTAAATTACAAACAATTACATAAAGATTTCTTAAATTAGACTCGACGTTTGAACTCTTAACAAAAAGAAATCTAAAAACATCCCGTACACCTGATCCGGCGGACGAACATTGTCGGTTATGTGCAATCAAAGTACCTAATCATAAATCAAGTGATGCAATGAAGGTTTCCAAATAATAACACCGACTGAACGATGTGGCAAGTTGACTCCAGAATATTGTACGTTGTGGTATTGTATTTCTCAGTAGAACGAGTACCAGACATTTGTGGTTACGTTTTGTTCCGCTCCGTGTGGTGACGGATTAAACAGACTGTCACCACCCCTATTCATCCCGTAGATGTCATAAGAGCCGACCAAGGAAGGAAACTATGCAGGACAACAGCACTGCAGAGGGAAGACAAACTTGAAATTAACCCTATACCTAACGTCTAATACGTCTGGCCAGCGTGGTATAGTAGGCCAAAACCTCCTTTCTAAGGAGAGGCATATGTCTAGCGGTGGACTACTAAAGGCTGATGTAGATGATGACTATGAAATATTTTTACACTAAAACGCAGGTATTGGATGTTATTTAAGCGAACACTAATATGAATGTTTTTCTCGGGGCATCCTCAGCGTCCGAAACCCTTAGAGTATGTCGCAAGAAAGAGGAGTCGATGTGAATATCTGTCTCAAAGTGTCGGTTTCTCACCAGGCCACCTCCCTAAGTTACTAAATAAACATAACAGTTTTTTGTTAGGAATCTTTGCAAGATGTTTTACGGGTTTCTTATTGATGAGTTATAATACCTCATTAAAAAACCAAGCGTAAAATCGCATTTTCTTATTTTAACAGCAATATACTTGTACCGGACAAGAATATCGACAGTAATTGTAAGTAAATAAACGAGCTTTCTAATACTAAACGGTGGAAAGTTGTCTATAACCGTCTAGTTACTAGTATGTATTCGCAACTAATCTACAGTTTAACCTGATAGTACTACTTGGATTTCAATATCCAATGATCCAATACACATCACTTTTTTTTTCTGTTCGAAAATCCCCTCGGATACAACCCACCGGTGGGGTGGTAATGTCGGACTCGAAAGGACCACGCCGTCTCGAGTACCAGTTGCCGGGGAACCAGGTGTACCATAGAAAGGAAATCCCTAGTGCACGTCACTAGCTGCAGCTCTAAGACTTATTTGAATAGTTCATTGCGACACAACTTTGACGTATCAGAGATTACTTTCATTTCCAAGAGTTTCATGCGCTCACAGTCCAAAGTGACTTAGGCATTTTTTGGCAATCAAACTTCGGCGTCAAGAGGTTTGTGATCCTGACTACTAAGCTGGAAGTTGTGGGCTCTAACACACAAAGGGAGGATCCTTCGACTAGGCGAGGTGATCGTGCCTGGCGGGCCGCGGCCCAAGGGTTGATGTTGGGAATTCTTCATATCGCGATTCAGGATTAGCAGTTCTCATTCAGGAGTTACCCCGCAGTTCGGTGTCTTCGTTAGATGGCGCTGTAGTATGTTTCTGTTTCTTTGTATGTGGGAGTCGCCACAATGAGCACGATGATTAAATTTGTTCTGTGTCTTGGTGTAATTTATCTATAATATACAGGGTGTAAGGGACGTGGTAACGAATACTGAAATAGTGTATTCAGACCATGATTCTGAGTCGAAAACTATTGGAATTTTCTGCCGGGAAATTATTATTTTTTTATAATTTTCCATTTTTTGTTGTTAATGAAATCACAATACGTAAACAGAAAATTTTACTTCTTTTTTATGTTAGAGGGGGCAGACGAGCAGACTGGTCACCTCATGGAAAGTGACCATCGCCGCCCATAAAAGTCTGCAACTCAGGAGTCACAAACGCGTTGCCGGTCTTTTAGAAACGTAGTACGCTCCTTTCTTGAAGGTTTGAAAGTGGTATCGGTCCGGATATACCACAGACGATAACCCGTTCCACAGATTGGTTGTGCGGGGCAAAAAGTGTTTCGAAAAGCGCACAGTAGTGGAACGCCAACTATCCAGGTGATGAGGACGAAAATTTTGCTGGTATTAGTCCGTACAATTCCTCGGAGCACTCTCCATGACATGCGATAGAGAATGCAGAGTGAAGCCACATCTCTATGTAACGTCAAATAAAAAATAAATGCCTAGACTGTTTGCACAGAATACACATGTAGTCATTACTTTTGTGCAATACCTACGTAGAATGGCCTTAACCTTTGCAACTGATTGCATAAAAATTTTAATTTTCCGCAGAAAATTTCAATCATTTTCGACTCAGAATGATGGTCTGATTACACTATTTCAGTATTCGTTACGACGTCCCTCACACCCTATGTAGGTATGTTTATCAGCAGTCTGAAAACCATAGTTCAGGCTCTGCTTCGTTTAACATCAGACGGATCAGAGGTCATTATTGTGTACGAACCTGTCATATAAACAGCAGGTAATAAAGAACTACATAAATAGAATTATTGTTACAGTCTCTGCTTAGATGGTTTGCAACCTTGACTCGCTCTCACACGTACCCTTAAAACAATGTGGTTCAGACAATGAAGACCTACGAACAATTCTCACCAGCCAGTTTCCGTTTCAATTGGATAGTTAGGTACTTTATGTTTAGCGAATGTGCGTAAAAGTACTTCTGTATTCATGTCATGGGAACATATTTAGTTATTTGTTAAGGTTATGTAAAAAAATAAAAGTTTTTTAATGTCAGTGCTTTTGATGGAAAAGTGGATAAGTATGTGAAAAATTTGTTCGAGATTTTCTCAGACCTTTAATGAACAAAGATCATTTAAGTTGTAATTGTTTTGTGAATGTCCTAGAGTATGTGTATAGAACACAGAGACTAGTTTATTTGGAGTTGCATTACGTCGTAAGAAATGAATTTTGTAAAAGTATATATTTTTCCATAGTTAGGTCTATTGAAGCGGTTATAAACACTATAATTTAAAAATAATAAAAGTTATGTTCTTAATAGTCTTACTGCTTACAAACTGTTACGAAGATTGATTGGAGTTCTATAGAAAGAAATAAAATACACTAAAATAAAAAATAACAGCTTCCTTATCTGATTTTTTTATTTTCTTTTCAGCAATAAGTATGGTGGCCGGTGTGGCGGTTTACCCAGCGGGATGGAGTGAGACCGCTGTGCAGGAGACTTGTGGGCCTTCAGCGGACCAATACAATTTAGGCAAGTTATATAAAACTTTTAAATTTTTTATTCGCACCGATTTTTATTTGGACCGTACGACCAGACGCAGGTCTGGTCGTACGGTCCATACGTACGTACGTACGTCCATTTTCCAGACCCAAATATAGCTAATGAACTTTCTACATCTGAAAGGTCTTCTGTAGTAAGGCGGCTATTATTAATTTATTACTTGAGGCTTCGCTGACAATTTTGCGATGATAATAAAAATATATATATTTTTTAATAAGGTAAAAGGTTTTAATAAGGTAACTACAATGTACTGTCAGTAAAGGTATGGCAAGGTTGACTATATTTTTTGTGTAGCTAAGATTTGTAGAAAGTTTGTACGAGTAGTAGGGTTTAGAAGGGAATATTAATACAGGATTTTGCAACACTAAGACAGTCATCGATCATAGTAGAAATAAACCTTACCAATAAATGATGAATGGTACTAAATGTACCATTTATCATTTATTGAACACAATGGTCGTACAGCCTTGATCTTAATTATTTTTTAATTGGATTTACGCTTACCGCTTAGCGGTGTTACGATTTCAATAATTATAATTTATTCGTAATATAATTTTAAATGTATAGGTTGTTGGAATTCGATATCAATCCTATTTGTATTTTTACCTTTGAAAGGGTATTTGTGATGCATTTAATTAAAAATAAATGATGCTTAGTTGCTTTAGGTTCACATCACATCATCACATCAACAGTCTTAAATAGTCCACTGCTGGACATAGAAAAGAGGTTTTGGCCTACTAAGCTTTAGGTTACTATGTTTCTAATTTTATTAAAACATGAATATATTTTTTTGTTATGTTTGTGTCCTTTGTGATCTGATAATGTCTGTTCCTAATTCATTTACTACAACTGCTGAACAAAAATTAATGTATTGTATTTAAGTATAGTTTTCACCGACTCTAAAATCTCTGAACGAGTGAACCGACTTTCTTGAAAAAGCTTAGAGGTGTATCAATAAGTCTACTATCAAACAGAACAAAAAAAATAACGCACAATCGGTCCATTCATATATGAGATGTCACAAATACGTAAGTTAATGAATAGGTAACACTCCTCGATTTCTATATAATATACAACAAAGACGATTACCATACGAATGTTTATTCGAATGAAAAAACTCTTCATAAACCGATAATGTATTTATGGTTGAATGTATGCATGACCGAATGATTGAATGAATGACAATAAACATGTTCAATCTCTAATTTGTATAATGCCATTCAAAGGTGTGGTATAAACAATACAATAAAGTGCGTGGATATCATTTACAGTGCAAAAAACTGAAAGATTTGTCCTCAATTTTAAAAATGACTTCAGACTCAGCGGAAGATGTTGTTGTACAGATTTTTTTGCAAACTATTATAAAGTCGACTTACAAAATCTTTATATACAATGTATACTTAGACCCAGGGTACATGCGTCGCTTCGTTATCTTTGTCTATTGCAAAACACACGGCTGGTAGGTCCAGACGGGGCGTGGCGTACACGGAACACAGATATTGCGGGGGAAGTGGATAGGACGCGGGGTGCATACCACGTGCCTCAAGAGCAGCGAAAGGAACGTTAAACGGGTGACCGTGCTTTCGTCTCGCCTTTTCTATAAGTACATATAATTTAAATAACAGCGACTGCTACGTGACTTCCCCATGGGCTTCACTCTAAGACATTTATATGTGACTATGTATTGCCCTCGGCTTCGCTTTATTTCTTATTTCGTGTTTTTAACTTTAGAAATGACGAACTTCTATACAACCGTTCATCCCTTATTTTACCCCCTTGTAAGTGTAATTTCCAAAAATCCTTTTTTTAGTGGGTGCTGACAATATAAAATCATCAGCTGCCGAAATAAGGCTCTGGTTTGATGAATCATTCGTCAACTCAACTCATTTTGTGTGTATATAATAATGTGTGTAATGATTGTTTTATCTACGTCTCCAGGTCGATGCCACATACGCTGGGCATACCTACTCGCCGTAATAGGGTGCCTGGATGGCATAGTGCTGTCAGCCCTGGCCTTTATCCTGGCGACACGGCACGTGCGACTGCAGCCAGACAGTGGTTACCCTCCGCCTTCGCTATATAAAGGTACGTCACGTTATATTCAAAAGAGATCTTTATGACTTTCAAGGTTAGAAGGACTACTCGAGGTATTCCTTATACTCCTCAATCCATTGATTATCTTCTTACCCTTCTCCCAAACTTATTTGGGTCGGTGCATTGTGTTTTCTTCTTCCATTTTCCTCTATCACTCGTCAGTTCACTGATGCCATATCTTTCTTCTAAACTTCTTCTAGGTATACTAAATTCAGTGTTGCCTAAGATCTAGCTGGAAAATGACTGCCTCGTTGGCGCAGTTGTTGTATATGTGACCGCTGTGTTGAGGTCTCGGGTTCGATTCCCGGGTCGAACCAAATGTTTGTAGGTTCTACAAATATTTGTTTTGCAGTTTGGATGTTTTCTTGTATAATATGTATGTATACAAATAAAAGTATATTTAAGTATTCTATTAGTCAATCTAGCTTTCATAGTACAAGCTCTGGTTTGCTTGAAACTAGATGGCGATGTGTGTTAGATGTTCAAATATTATTATTACAAAAATTAATAAACAAAGCCATAAACGTGCTGTCTTAAACAATTACTGGTATTACATAATATAATGGTTATATCAGTGTTTCCACCCTACTTACCGGACACACAGCGACACGGTGCGGAGCACATGAGTGGATATGTGCAAGTTAGTTTGGTATAAGCTAGGGTTGGCATTGGCACTAAAAGGAAACATTTATTTAACATTTAAATTAACCAACATGTTTTTTGCTCTAAATATAAAAAAAAATTACTTGATAATTATTGAAATTCTCTTACGTTATTGACGATTTTAATCGACTTTAAAAAAAGAGGTTCTGTCTTTTTTTTATTATTTATACCATACTATACATTATCATCACAGATAGGGCAGGGTAGCGTTGCAGTGCCACTGTCAACATCGGCTCCGTGCTTTTATCGTCAATTTAAATCTCAATAACACAAATTACAGTATAATAAATAGTTAAAATCGTGGATAAGTGCTCAATACGTATGGATAAAGTGAAAACAAAAACAATAAACTAGTAAAACAATGCAAAAAAATAGTGATCACAACATTTGAAAAGGAAGTGCCATTTGTTTAAATGTTAAAACTATAGACGTTTTGTGAGGCTTTATACATCAACGGAACAACAGATGTAACGAAATCAATAAGCATTAGCTTTAGAACTGCGTTATAAGATAATTTAGTGACAATACTGACAACATAACCTATAACAAAATGAGTCATTGAATTCAGAATTATCCGTTTTAATACTACTGTACTCGTATAGTACTACCTACACTCGAGTAACCGACCATACTTCCCAATCGCTTCGATTCGTGCAAGAAGTTCCTGCAAGCGAAAATAGAGGACACTACCTGTACCAAAACAAAACAAAGCCAATACATTTTAAATTTTTCTTCTACAAAATGACGCAGGAAATGTTGGAGGTAATAGCGGCGCTTCGCGCGATCCAAAAGGATCTTGATGAACAGAGAAAATTGATAAACAAAACTGCTGAAGAGGTGACAGACACATCACATCTCCCAATCCGGCCGGTCACCGTGGGAGGAAAAGACCGAAACCCTCCAGAGACAAATACATCAAATAAGTTGGAACCTACATATAATAACCTACTCAATATTGCAACATTCTATGTAAATACATTATCTTTTACCAGAAAAAGAGGCAGACCTATAACCAGATGGGTGGACGATATCACACAAGTAGCAGGCAAAGACTGGCAAACAGAAGCCAATGACCGTGACCACTGGAGTTCTCTGGAGGAGGCCTTCACCCTCACAACTTGAGGGGTTCATGCATATTTTTATTTGAAACTTTTATTTAATTTAAAACAATTTCAATTATTAAAACAAGGAAATTTATTTTTTTAATTTTACGCATCTTTAATAAGTAACATTATTATTATAAGAGCAATCAATATATATTTATTTTTTAATTTAATCTACTAACAAATCAATTCTATATGTTGTTTTCATGATTGTAACTAGTGTAATGCAAAAACAAAAAAAATATTGTTAATATCGGATATTTAATGCATGAAATAAAAGGCTTTTTTATTTTTTATTTATTTATACATTATCATCACAGATAGACTAATACAAACATGCAAGACTTAAAATAAAAACAAAGAAATATATGATAAAATACATTAAAAACTAGAGCTAGTCAGTACGCAATATATGGCCTTTGTGAACTCATTAAGCGAACACGAAAATATGTCAACATGATCCGACAGTTCCGACACAGTATTGAGAGCACGCAGAGCGCGCGTTGGTTTTATATTTGTTACGTCTGAGGTCCGTAATTTATGAACCGATTAATTCTTTATCAAGGTGAGTATATATTATTAGTTAGTGCCTATTAAAATCCCTCCCCTAAGGATGGAAGAGTGTTAAATGAAAGGTACGGTTTGTCAGAATTCGTCATGATGCAGGCGCTAAAGGAAGTCGGTTCTATCGTGATTAAGTAACAAACATTGATCTATCCAAACTATCGCATTTATGATAGTATGTATTAGGTTCAATCTCTAATCTTTTGCTCTAAATTAAGAAAAGGAATCGCAATTGTTAGCGAAACTCAACAACTTCTAACATATATTGTATATAAAAAATATTTTATTGCTCAATGCGCAAGAACTGAAAACACGCGACTTAACAGTCTATGGAATAGAACATAAGCTTCCTAGCCGCGTATATTACACTAGCTGACCCGCGCAACTTCGTCTGCGTCCCTCAATAGTAATAAATTTTCTCCGTTTTTGAAACATTCTTCATTGGTGCTCCGCTCCTATTGGTCTTAGCGTGATGATATATAGCCTATAGCATTCCTCGATAAATGGGCTATCTAACACTGAAAGAATTTTTCAAATCGGACCAGTAGTTCCTGAGATTAGCGCGTTCAAACAAACAAACAAACTCTTCAGCTTTATAATATTAGTATAGATATAATATCTCTATCTCTGAGCGAAACCTCATTCAAATCCAGCCTTCAGCCTTTCTAGCGTAATTGAGTGGCAAACATCTATCAAAATTTTCGTATTTATAATAGTAGTAGTAATATATTCATATGAGGTCGTCCGCGCTTCTTAATTAAAAAAGCATTCAACCAACTAATTTCACGCCTACAGTTACGAAGAATACGAGGTTGCAAAAATGTCAGCATAAAGTCGGAAAAGCAGATCAAAGACTTTGTAGAACGACATCGTCATGGGTATACCCGTGATGATTCTTCGTTCCTATGTGATGACGAAATCACGGCAGAACGATAGGCTTCGTTTCTATTCCCATCATATGTATAGTTAATGAGTTGTATTCCTGGAGTCTTCGTTTCTTATTAACCTTTTACTTATCTTCTGGGTCTAGCAAGAACATGGCAGATCTAACAAGATAATGATCAGAGGAAAAACAAAATTTATCAGTTGTATAAAAATCGTTATGGGTCGTCGTTATCCCTTTTACAATTTTACCAGCTGCTAACGGCCCGCGACTCCGCCTGTTGTATATTGGTTATCGATGTAAAAAGGAGTCTATGTTACTCGCTGATAATTTAGCTTTCCGTTGGTGAAAGAATATTTGAAATCAGTTTAGTGGTTTAGGCGTGAAAGCGTAAAAAGAAATAAATACTCTCACTTTCTCATTTATAATATATGCATATGTATGTTTATCAGTAGTCTGGCTACCATAGTACAAGCTCTGCCTAGTTTGGGATCGGTCGGCCGTGTGTGCGAGGTCATTTTAGGTGATGCCCTATCTCCCCAAGTTCCGTGTGCCCCAATATTGTTATAAGAACAGTCTAAATATTAATGCCCCAATATTGTTATAAGAACAGTCTAAATATTAAAATATGACTGTAAATTCGAAAGGATCGAAATTTGTTAAAAATATATAAAGTAATGAATTATAATTATCCGTCACACACTAGTGTGGTAATTTCATCAGTCTTATATAAAAATTATAGTACAGAGTACAGTCTAAGCCAGTGCGTGACAACCCTGATATGAAATCCATTTAAAAATGACAGTGAAAGCGCTTGTAATGAGTATATTTTTGGCGATATTCTGCACGAACAAAGGGAAAAGTTGTGTAAATGAGTTTTTTTACTATTATATTTTTACTAGCTGACCCGCGCAACTTCGTCTGCGTCTCTCAATAGTAATAAATTTTCTCCGTTTTTGAAACATTCTTCATTGGTGCTCCGCTCCTATTGGTCTTAGCGTGATGATATATAGCCTATAGCCTTCCTCGATAAATGGGCTATCTAACACTGAAAGAATTTTTCAAATCGGACCTGTAGTTCCTGAGATTAGCGCGTTCAAACAAACAAACAAACAAATAAACAAGCAAACTCTTCAGCTTTATAATATTAGTATAGATGAGTTTGAATCTGTCTGTATTGAATAGTAAATGTGGTCATTAGTACAATATCCGTCACGAAACTTGAGCACTACACTAATGTTGTTTTAATTCGCTGTTGTCGAAAGTTACTCAAATATGCGGAAGAAATGAAAATGTGTAATATTCTCTGACTAAATAACTGATATACTAACTGATAATATGGAAACATGTTTTCTTTGAAAACAGTGTGATAAAAAAGCGTGATCAATTTAAATACAGATCATACGTATCTACAAATATTTTCACATCGCGGGATCCGAACCCGCGATAGCATTCCAATGCTTTAATTGCCAAAAATGCCACTGTGCTTTAATCTCAGATTAAAAAATTACATTTACTGTATTTACAGAAAAAAGTAACTCTTTCGCCATTTAAATAAAGTTCAATTTTGATAGCAACACGTTGAATTAGCAAGAGAGACTATTTTGTGTAGGTCAGCGTGCAGGTTTCACCGAGCGTGCGTGTGTTCCGCCTGAGTGAGCTACAAAGGGTCGGACGTCCGCTTTAGGTATATTTTACAAGACTGCACGGATGGCGTAGTGGTTTAAGCGGTCAACTCATCGCTTCCTTCCGTTTTGGGTTCGATCCCCACATGGCAT